AAGGTACTCAACAGTGTAGCTGTGCTGTAGGTGGTGGAGGCTGATTGTGTTACAGTTTGCAGACAAACTTTGCATTTCGTGGTTGTTGATTTTTTTTGCTCAACATCTATGGCGTAATTTTGGTACCACCAAACTGAGCGTGTGGTGGGATGAATGTGCATTGTTTAAACTTGCACACCTTCACTCAAAAGAGGTCTTCCACGTGCTCAACTGTGACAACATGCTCTTGACTTCTCTGCACGCTTAGCTTTATCTCTGCTCTTGTCCGGGTCCACAGGATTAACTAATGTAATTTTGTTTACAGCTGTGTTAGACGCTTCTTCACTGGGCTCATCCGCCATTCTCTTTGTTTGCGCTTCTGACAGGATCAGTGGAGTCACGTGATTCCCCACATGCTACCGTCTTTAAGGGGAAGGAAATACCAGCTACCAGTGCAGACAGGAATGACAGCAAAATTACATTCATTTCTTTACAGACATTGGAAAATTGTTGCAGATAATCATAGTGACAGACGGCAACGGCAAAAATCTGATTTAATAATTGTGAAGTCTTATATACGGAATATTTGGACAAGATTGAACACTTAAACCTGTAAGTATTTGAATCTTTAAGAAAAAACACATTTGTCTGCTAATGTTTATCTTAAGCAATACCTAAAAGAAGACTACATTAATTGCTGTGGTTATTTATAATATTAATTCCCATCCAACTTGACCATGACACAACAGCTCTAGGAAGAAGACTTTAAAGGTAACTCTCCAGCGTAATCTGAGCGTGCTGAGCAGCTTCCTGCAGACGAGACATGTCACAAAAACCCCTAAAGATGGCAGAAGCACTTCACATCAATCCATCCTGTGGAGGAGCAGCCCTTCTACCTCTAATTACCCGCACATGATGAACCAGGGCTTATGAATTAAGCCATTTTTATCTGAAATAGCATTTTTAGCTTTTTGGCCCAGCTCATTCTTTAGCACGACGGGTAAGGCCACTGCAGATGAGGCCTCAAATGTATCCGTGCATCCCCTGATCCTTCCTATTATCACTGATGAACAACACACCAAGATAATTTAGTTAATTGTCTTAAGTTGTTGAATGTTTTTGTCAAATCAGGTGTTCTTGTTAAATCTTGCTTACCTAATAGAGTAGTTCTACAACTAAATTATGTTGTCCCACTGTTCATTAGTGAACACTATCCTGTTGCAACTAAACAGAAAATTAATAAAACAATTACGCTTAGCGACGTTCAGCTTCTTGAAGAGAGCCACTGGCCCAATTAGGCCTTCAAAAAATTCTATCTTGTCTCTATAGATTGTACGACCTTCCGTTTTTAAACCTAGTTCCCATTTTTAACAAAGCTCTTAAAGGAGAAGCAAACAACATGCATTCTTTTCATACCATATATTTTATAAAGGCTCTAAGCTCATCTATTTAGCTGTGTTTTGTTTTTAATCCTAGATCGGACTTTAAAATAGCTGCTATTAACACCTCTACTTCAATAAATAAACAGGGTTCCTACAGCATAAGGCAAGTTAAATTCAAGAGTTTAAGACTTTTAAGACCATTTAAAATAAAAATCCAACACAAACTTTACAATAGACATAAGAAAAACCTTGTAGCGACAAATTTACCCCAAATGTTTATTTTAACATAAACCATTACTTTCTGGCCCAGTAGATATGTTTCAAATTTTGAAAAACTTTCCATATAAGAAGAAAGCTAAAAACAAACAGATATATTTTTAACAACTACTGAACTGAATTCACTAACTTTGTTTTGTTCCCTACTCAATCCTTCTACTTTCATTGTCGGCGTACCGCCAAACATTATCCGGAGATTGGGTTCTACTGGCACTGTTGGTGATGTGATAGATGCTATGGAGGCGTTGCAGAGACAAGGGTGGAACAGAACGAAGAAATACCTGCTGCTTCTCCATAACTTGATTTTGACGCTTTGATTTTCATGCTTCGCACATGTGTCTCCACTGCCTTGATTCCAATCGTGCTCTATCTACATTCCCTGGTAGTGGTTTTAACCATGCAGAAAACTCTTGGATGGATAGCCTATTTTTCGCTGAATTTAAAATTCCCCATGTTGTCCACAAAAAAAAGTTACTAGCAAATCATCCCAAGGTCCGGCCGCAACATCTTTGTTATTGGTTCCGCTATCGGGACGGAACCAATCATGGTTACAGCGAGCAGTTTGGTAAATGTAAGAAAAACATTGTCAATTATTTTGTTTGATATGGATTACAAAAATAAAATCCTATTTTTGATGTGGTAACAATTTAAAGACCAATGAAAGACTGATTTAAGACATTTTAATACCAATTAAGGCCTTGATTTTATTTTGAAGAATTCAATGCCTTTTAGGACTTTTTAAGGATCTGCAGGAACACTGATAAAGCAGTCCTGCACCATCTGAAAATGATATACGGCCTTAAGATTGAATTTGCTATGAATTCTGCAACAGAAAAACAGTGATTTGAATAAATAAAAATGAGAAACAACAGCCTGATCTAAGGATTTGCTTAAACAATTCATTTAAATTATCTGTGAATACAAAATACATGCGCTAGATATGATTTACTCTATGTGGATACCACACTACAAACGTTAAATAAAGTTACTTATAAGCTGCTCATACTTTAAAGGAATTTATTTACAGTATCATACCTGAAACTCCAATGTACACTTGGTGCCGATGATGATATCCTCGTAGAAACACTGTTTAGCGTTGTCAGGCAGCTCGAAGGTTAGCTCAGAGCCCAGTACCCACCCACATAGCAACTGGGCCCAGAGCACCTGCAGCAGCACCTTCACTGACCTAAACATACTCGACACCGACAGCCAAAAGCTAACACCTAAACACGTAAGAAACAACAAAATCGAAGTCAAAACCTGCACAAAATGTGGCAAACAACCGACTTAAACAGCGATTAAACCAGAGCACCGGACATTGATATTAGCAGTAAGAGGTTAGCCGAAGCTAACTAGCCAACTATCTAAGCTATGTATTTTTAGAGACACAAGGCAGTTTCTAATTCTCGGCGATATCTTCGGTTATTAAATTCATTGTTATATACATGCGAATCTACCATCACTTTAATTCTACTCAAGAAGCTCGTTTGTTAATTCTGTATTTTGTCTCAGTCTGAAATACCGACTCACCTAAACTCTTCACCCGGATGTAACTGATGGTACAAAAAAATAAGTTTTAGAAACGTGAGACGGGATTGGCTGTCATCGTTGATAAACCCGCCTCCCAATGACTCCTATTGGTCAAAATAGAAAGAAGGAGCGACGTCATTACGGTCACATCTTCCAACGTCGGAGCGGAACGAATCTTCTTCAATACATTCCAACGTGGCTCTCACTGAGTTGACGGTTGTTACAACATTTCCTTAAATTGTTTTCTAAAGGTTTTGGTGCTTTATAAAATACTAATAAAAAAAATACAGTTATTTTGTACATACGGAGATTTTTATGGATTTATCTTAATTAAATCTTGCTTTTTAATTTTGTTTTAAATATATTCTGCTTTAATTATATGATATGCATATTTATCTAAAAATACAGAATTTCTCTTAAAATTTTCAGTGAATCACGACAGCAAAAAAAAAAATAAAAAAAATAAATAAAAAATGCTTAGGAAATGCAAAAAATTTAACATTTTTACATGATATCCGAGACTTTAGAATAAACTCTTGGTGTGCCCCAAATACAACTTATTCATCTCTGATACAATACCGATATTGCAACATGATATGAGCATGAATCACACATACTTTTTTGTTATTTTGTAGAGTTAGGAGTATGAGAAAAGTTTTAATCATGCAATATTCCCAAAACGGATAAAACTAGTCAACAACAACAATTTTAAAACAACTGATCCATTTTGTCATAACTAATTTGCTTCGTAAACATAAACAGATGCAGAGAGAAGCAGAATCAGCTTACTCATATCGGAGATCGGGTCGATATATTCCGATAATCTTTTTTTTGGGCTGATATTAGACAGAATCCTGATATCGATAACAGATCATGACAACCCTGTTCAATATAGTTCATGATTATTAACCTAATAAATTAATGGTATGGATAAGGTTGTTATACTGTTACAATCTTTTCTTAGTTATTAATAAAACATTATTTAACAATTTGTTTAAAGAGATTTTTTTTTACAAATAAAATTTCAATGATAAGAAAATTAATGCATTCTGTTTTATTTTTTTTTTCTTCCTATAATAAAGTTAGTCTAACTAATCTAAGCTTAATTGATAGAAAAAAGGGTGTAATTTTTTAAAGCTAACAAAACATCTTTTTTTTTCACAGTGGAGTCTAGAAGTCTTGATAAGAGAACCTGAAATACTCTGAGCATTGATAATATTGATATTGCTAATTTCAGTTAAACTGTGTACAACTAATATTTCTTCAACAAAATTGAGTTTTTCCTTTAATGCACTTTTGTAAAAATTAAATATACTGTGACTTAAAATAATAACTGAAGTTTATTGATCTCACATTGGAAAAATTTAGCTTATTGGTTTTTCTCAGGAACCCAGAGTGCATGCTGTGGGGATCCAATTGGTTAGTTGCAACCTTCTCAGATCACAAGTGCACTGCTCTAACCACTAGGCCAACACTCCACTGACTTTAATCAGATTTGAAAATATGATTGTATCAATGAATATGATTAAATATTTATTGATACAATCATATTCATTTCAAATTTAGAGTATATTTATTTGAAATAAATATGAATATGATTGTAATCCTATTATAGATAGGGATATCAATTCCAGCGGGTTTTAAAGGTTGTTCTGCTCCAGCACTATTGATTTTCATTGATAGATGATAAACAAGCTTTTGCTGAACTGCAATCATCAGAATCAGCTGTGCTAATGCAGGAAAACTTCTAAAACCTGCAGGACAGTGGCCTTTTTTTAGGCATGCCTGCGACCGAACCTGTGTGATTCATGCGGTTTCGTCCTCTCGCGAGATTTGGTGCTGCGAGATTACAGTGAAGGGAGGGCTGGCTGCATGGCGAGCTGAAGAGACAAAACAAAAGCTCTTACATTTCAACTAACAGGCGCTGGTCGCTTTTTTATTTTAATATTTTATTAACCAAAAACATATATTACTTTTTTATATTCTTTTTATTTTAACAGCAATATTAGGTAGGTTTTGCATGATGCCAAGCAGCACGTCTTTGTTGGAGGCCGATGAGGGAGAGTCCGAGCTCCCACCGCCGCTGGTACACGCTTTCGCCGGCATGGGCCTCGACGAGCACCACGGCAACCAGAGCCAGGCTCCTGAACAACCAGAAGATGGTGTTTCCTTTCACCATCAGCTCCCCGCAGTATCTCATTTCAGCATCCTCGGTACAGTCCTGGACTTGAAGCCGCTGCACCGGTCGCCCTCGGGGGATGAAGTGAACAAATCGGCAGAGGACGAGGAGATTGAGGGGATAGCGGCAAGTTGTTCGGGCTCGTTGCTAGCGAAGGCCCACCGCCATCAGCACCTCCCATCGGGGCAGAGCGGTACCGCGATGGAGCCGCCGCACGTCGAGACGGTGTTGTTATACAACGGAGAGGAGCGGGATGACGCTCTACCTCCGCCCGGCATGGTGATGCTTCCACCCGGTGTTTACGAGGCAGAACATTCGCTTCTGTCTCGCAGAAAGAGCGTCAACACGACCGAGTGTGTGGCGGTGCCGAGCTCCGAACATGTTGCAGAGATTGTGGGGAGGCAGGGTAAGAGTTTGCCTGGTTTGACTGCTTTGTTTATGGGCCAGTATTAGACGGACAGCGAAGTTCCTTTAAACCTATGTCGAGTTGGAAGTTTAAACGTAATATTTAGTGTTAATAAGTTGCTGATTCAATTGTTTTGACTTTTCTATAACAAGGCCGAAGTTCGCTTCCGATTTAGATCTAGGCTATTTCTCAGCGTGTAACTATTCCAACATATTATGATATGATTTACATCACAATCTAAATCACTTATAATCAAACCTGAACTGGGTACTTAATTTTTTTAAGGTTTTGTTTAAATGTAAAATGTATAAAGATTCACAGGGAAGTTTTAATTACCTTTTACATGTCACTACCATGGTGACCTGAAATGTAAATCCTCTACAATGGACAGATAAGATTAATTGTACCTTTTTGTTTTCCATGAAACCTCGGTTTATAAAGATACAAATTCAACTTTTCAATTCAAAATTTCAATTTAGTTTATTTATATAGCCCCAATTCACAACACATGTCATCTCAAGGCACTTTACAGTTTACCAGATCATACGGTCAAGGTTTTCTATCTAAGGAAAACCATTTGATTGCATTGACTCTTCAGCAATCCCTCACACTAAGCATGCTTGTAGCAACAGTGGAGAGGAAAAACTCCCTTTCAACAGGAAGAAACCCCCAGCAGAACCAGGGTCAGTGTGAGGCTGACTGGGGTTCAAGGAGACAGAAGCAGAGAACTTTTGGGTTGATATACGGCATGCTAAACACGGATTGCAATTTTTTACTTTTTTTGGACATAAAGATTCACAAAACAATTGGAGGTAAGGTGGTATTAATGGAGAAAGATAAATTTGCCTAAATATAAACCTCCTCCAAAGGTTTTGCTTTTTGGCTCCAGATTTGACATTTACCCTTTATTTTTTCTTACACAACGTACATTATTTAAGTATTAAATGTGATGCAAGTACTCCGAATCAGAATGTGAATAATTGTATTGTTAGTAACTGAGCTAGAAAGGATCTCGTTCAACTTGACAAATGGAAAGCTTCCAATCATACACGAACTTCAGCGTACAGCTACAACGGTTGGGGTTAGCTTGAGCTAGCTTAGCTCCCCCCGCTAACTGGGTCAACACCACCCTGACCAAACAACCTTAAAAGTTTACATTTTGTCATCTTCGTTGCGCCAGTTTGCACCAATATTTCGTTCCTGTGAATTAAAATAAATTTGAAAGCATTGGCGTGTTTTTTTGGACATGTAATGCAGCATTAGCCGACTGTGGTCCTTCTCTAACCCGGCTTTGCTTTGTCTCCGAACAGAAGGAAAAAAAAAAACGTTGGTCACCATTATTGCTTTGCCACATCAGCTGTGTAGCTTTAGCTTTCTCCTTGTTCGTTGTCGAGAATTTAACTCCCGCAGTTTTAGCCTAAAAAGCTAAGTTTAATATAAAAACGGTGTCCATTGTATGGAGGATTTTACATCAAGTTGATATAGTTTAAACTGGTTGGGTGAGTGTTGTTAGATCAGGTGGGGGAGGGTGCCTGGTGTTGACAACAACAGGAAATGGCTCTGGTCATAATGTGGGACTCTCAACCACTGTTAAAAGGAATATTTAATTCATAAGCCCGGCTACTTGGAAGTGGAATTAATGGCTGGAAATGAGTCCGGGTGCTGCTAAAGTTCAGGCCTAAGGCTATTTGCCATTAAAATGCCCTTTATTATGGCCACAAAGAGTAATAATGAGAGATTGTAATGTAAGCTCAGTATTTTCCAGGTCTTGATTGGCATGGAAGGAAAAAGAATTGAGGGTTGAAAGTTGTTGATATTTCCGGAATTTTTATCTAGAGTCGTTATTAAAATACTGGTTTATTTTTTTCTTTTCCTTGCTTTTGTTTTTTTCTTTCATATTTCCCTAATCCATTTTCTGTCCTCTTGTTTTTATCCCTTTGTAACTCTTCTTTCTTGTGTCTAACTTCACTCTTATTTTGTTTTTTATATTCTCTTCCTCCTTTGATCAACCATCTATAGTAATTTCATGGTAACTAGCTAAACGTAGACTATCAACCCTTCCTAGCAACTTTCAGTTCTGTTTTTTTATCCACCTAATGCCAATCTTTTTCATCTCATTGGTTTTCCAGATGAGGAACAGCAGACATGTTTACCTTTCAGTCTTAGTGTACTATAGTTGACCTGTTTCATTGAGTAGTAAATGTCAAACGGAAACTTCCAGCACTGATGATGAGAGTTTAAGCTAGAAAAAGACAAATCTCCAAAAGTTACCTAATTTGGTTGTTTTGCTTCCTTTTAGCAGTATCAAGTTTTCTTTATTATTAAACCACTTTTGCTTTTGTCTCTCCAGGCTGTAAGATCAAGGCCCTTCGAGCCAAGACAAACACCTACATTAAGACGCCAGTGAGGGGAGAGCAGCCCGTCTTCGTCGTGACCGGCCGCAAAGAGGACGTGGCCATGGCGAAGAGGGAGATCCTCTCTGCCGCTGAGCACTTCTCCCTGATCAGAGCCTCCAGGAACAAAGCCGGCCCTTTGTCAGCTGCAACTAGTTTAGGGACTCCTGCTCTACCCGGGCAGACAACCATCCAGGTCAGCATCCATGGCATTGTTTCTACCACAATCTTTTATAATGCATTTACTTTAAAGAGGCGTTAATACTTGTTTATTTTTACCACATCAGGTGCGGGTCCCGTATCGAGTCGTCGGGCTGGTTGTGGGCCCCAAGGGTAAGTATTTAGCTTATAGCTGCCCCCATGACAGTGTGTTCCACTTCCTTTTAACGTTTTAAGAACAAATGGAAATGTTTTTTTCACCATTTTTATTGCTGGTAGTAATATTTGCTGGAGTCTTTTTAAAAGGTATTAAGATTCATTCCAGCCAAATCAATAGGGTCTATTTATAGATCTGTTTAATGTTATCTGGCTCGATTCAAGGGATAAAAAAGTCTTTTTACAAGGTGAAAGTTTGTCGTTTAAAAATGTCAGGTATGTTGTCTGATAACAGAACATAAATAACTGCAGCCTTATCACTGTGTTTATTAGGAGGTCTCTAAGTGTTCACATAAACAGAGAGCCCATAGTACAGCCTACAGTTGGTCTTTTTCTGCCAACATCTTCACTCAAAAGCCCCAGTGTTAATTTGTGATCAACCTTTATTACATAAGTTGGCTAATAAGTCAAACGTTTATATATATATATATATATATATATATATATAATTTTTACTTGGTGAATACACATAAGAATTCTGGCTCAGTTCCAATACAGTCTGTTTTTATTCCATTTAGCGTTGTGCTTTTAAAGGTTCTCTGTCCTCAGACTGGATTTTAGTGCTATGCACTTTAGCTAGGTGAGTCATCAGAGCAGGCTATGGTTAAAAGCAGTAATTCTCCACAGCTGGGTTTCTTTAAAGCCGGGGTTTATTATAATCACTATCACCATCTGAAGGAGTGTAATTATTGAATGTATAGAGCTTTGTGCCGAGTTCTGTGTTTCTCTGCCTGTGGTCTTGTCAGCTTCTCCAGCTGCAGTCTGTTTTTCATCCAGAGCTCCTGATATCATCAGTACTATACACTTTGTTTTATCTTCTTGGCAGTTTTGGTCTTTTTTTTGGTGAAATGAGGTTAATAAATCTTTTAATGAATCGTAAATTAATTGGTGGTATATTCAGTGGCAAATTTTAGTTTTTATTTTGAGATGTTTGCTGACCAAGTGCTGGTAGATGTGACACTTGATCCAACCACATGGCAGTAACCTGGTGGATGAACTGCTAATTCTAGGGAGATTTTCAAACAGGTTTACAGATGGAAGTTGATGCCACAATTTCTACAGAGAAGTTTTATCATGTCAGAACTCTACACTTTTTTTTTAAGGTGAAAGTCCTCAAATGCAGCCCTAAATGTACCAAAATGCCTTAATGAAACCTTGTAGCATTTCTGTTTGAGTCTCAAACTCATTGCTCTACATTGTTGATGTTTCATTTCACAAAAGCATAGGTCTTCTTTTTTTTGTTTATTTCTACATCTACCCTTCTCATTTATAGTTATAGCAACTTTGCCCACTTGTATATTTAAAGGTACACTATGCAACCGGTGTTGATTTTCCAGTGAGGCTCCCCCCAGAGGGCGAAAGTAAAAGTGCACTGTCGTAAATATGCACAGCTGTTCTCCTGGTTTCTCCGTCAAGCCAGGCGCGGTTGTTTTGAGCTTAGCAGACAGGCGAACGCAACGAATGACTAATGCTGCGTTCACACGCTAGCCTGCCTCGGAGCAGGTTTACCATTTAGAGTACGTTACCATGGTGACTAGCTTCGCTAAGAATGAATCCAGCTTTGTGGTACCGGAAAGTCGGAGTAAACCCTTAAGTTGTCTCGCTAACCCAGTAAACCTGCTTCGTGCTACAGGCCTCAGATGTGCTCCTGCTTACGGAGAGAAGGACCGAAATCTAACAATAGTTGATTAGAAAACCTGTTACTGCTCCAATAAGCATAGATTTCAGCTATGACCTCAAGGCGGTCGGTTCAGAGTTAAGCATAAACATTAAAACCCGGATCCACCCTGCCTTGATCACCATGGTTAGTGGATAGCTGGAATATGTCGGATTGGTAAATGGCTTAGTTGGTGTCTGAGTAACAGCAGAGCTTTGTTTAAACAGAAGGCGACCCCAGATGTTATTTCTGAACATGTCCATTTCTGTCTAACCATGTTCTGATGGCTCATTCCATCACTGCACTGTGTCGCAAAGCATCTGGACAGGAACAATAAGTTGACTGTACTGCTGTGGCCTGCACAGTCACCAGATTTATCTAAAAGAAATCTATTGGAATGTGGTTCAGCTGACAGATAAAGAGGCAGCTTAAGATGCCTAACCACAATCTGCCTGGTGGAATCGTTATCATCCTGAATAAAATTAATGTTAAGAATCAAGGTTGCTCCTTGAGGCTAAAGAGGTCAAACATCGCAGAAGCAAGGCATGACTAAGCTTGCTGATGCACACAGTAAAAAAAAAAAGGATAAAAACAAATAAGGATAGGATAATTTGCATCTAATGAAAGATGTGTTCATATTTATGCATACAAATAAAAACGGGGTGCATGAAATAAAAGTTAAATATGTGGTTAAGAAATTAATTACAGAGAAAAATGTGTGGTTTATAGTATGACTTAATCGGTTGAAACAAAATATTAAAATATAAAATAGCTTTTCGCTGAATACATACATGCATGAAGTTAATAGGAGACCCTTTTTGTATGATCTGTTCTTATCCCCCAGGAGCAACCATCAAACGCATCCAGCAGCAGACTCATACCTACATCGTGACTCCTAGTCGGGACAAGGAGCCGGTGTTTGAGGTCACTGGGATGCCGGAGAACGTGGACAGGGCGAGGGAGGAGATAGAGGCGCACATCGCCCTCCGCACCGGCAGCTGTGGGGGTGTCGAGGCCCCGGGCGTGGATAACAGCGATTTCCAGTTCAACGGCACAGATGTCAGCTTCGAGACCTCGGCACACTCGGCCGGTCTCGGAGAGGCCGGGTGGCTGCATGCAGGGGCGTCGTCACCGGGGGGCGGGACCTTGCTGCCGGTCAGCGTCAGTGGTACTCAGAGGGGCAACAGCAATATCAGCAGCGCTGCCAGGATGTCTTCCACCTACCGCAACGACAGCTCCAGCTCTCTGGGCAGCGGCTCCAGCTCGGCCGACTCCTTCTATGGTGGCGGGAACGGGAACCGGATGGCCGATTTCAGCCCCACCTTCCCCTTCAACGCCAATGCTAACAACAACAACAACAGTACAAGCAGCAGCACAAGTTTCTGGTTTGGCGACAGCCTCCTGGGCGTGGGCTCTGAGGAGCTCTTCAGCCTGGGAAGCGGAGCCTCCTCTTCAGGATTTGAGCCGTTAACCATTTCCACTGCCCGTACCTCGCAGTCCGCTGCCCCACCGCACATCTGGAGCCCCTTCGTGGACCAGCAGTCACTTCAGGCCTTTGACTCCCTGCAGTCCCAGGTAAGAGTTTCTGCAGACGAGGCTTCAAATGGCTTTTAGATGAATAGTTCTGGTTGTCTACAGACTGCTGCTAATTTCTGCAGACCAGCCAACCCGGCACCCCCCGCCTCTCTCCAACCTTTTCGGGGACCGACGCCTTGGAGCACCCTCAGGCCCAGCGTGTTTACCGACGGCCTTTCGGCTCAACAGGAACGCTCGACGTCCACAGGATCCCCTCCTACAGCTCTGCCTTCTCCTCCTCCTCCAGTGAAAGCACCACCTCCTCCTCGCCTCCCGAGTCCTCCTTCTCCTATCGACCAGGAATTGGATTGTCCGGGAGGAGCCAGGAGATCTGCATCCAGTGTATGGAGAACCAGGTGACCGCTGCCTTGGTTCCTTGCGGCCATAACCTGTTCTGTCTCGATTGTGCCACACAAATCTGCCAGGGCCCGGAGGCCATGTGCCCTGTGTGTCTGTCCCCAGCCACGCAGGCCATTCAGCTGCGCAACATCTGATTAGTTTTATTTTTTCCCCTCACTCCTGGCCCCCAGCGTGTGTTGGATTTACAAAACAAGACCCCCTGATCAGTATATAGGTAAACCCTCAGGCCAGCCTTTTCCAGGCTGGCATTGGTTTGACAAAGGTGCAGCAAGTGGAAGTGGGATAGGAAAGGTGTTTATTGGGCGTGGGTGATGAGCCCAGTCTTGTGCCTGCTATTGTGAAGTCTTCTTGGTTGAATAAGGGGAGGGCTTGGAGCTCTCTATGTAGCATTGGGAGGATTTGGCTTTTTTTTTTTTTTCTGTTTTTCATCTTTTTTTCTTATTTAGAATAAAAAAAATTTCTTCCTCATAATTTTATTTTTATACATCAATGTATATAAGAAAAATCTTTTGGCCTTTATGGTCGACACCTTATTTTTTACATTTTAACATCTCTGATGTTTTATGCTGAAAGAAAAGGAAGTGCGCATGTTTTGCATAAAGCAGGACTTCATATCAGTGCGACAGGAACGGAGACAACCAGGATAAACGGTTTGAAGTCGTCCAAATTACAGATCCGTTAGTTTCCATAGGTATGAAAGACCTCCCAAGAGGAGTTTTTAAAGCTGAGTCGAACATATAACTGGAACATTTTAACACTCCACCTTTAGACCACAGGATGTTGCGCTACTTCAGGATCGCCATGTTGCTTTCAGATTATATTTACACCAGTTTCCCCGTAAACTCGTGCCTAATTCCCGAGTGTAAATGTACGACACAGTCTTGCTCAGTTTTTGAAGCAAACTTGTGGCCTTTTTTTTCTTTCTAAGGTAAAGCCTGTAATTACCTTCACAACACTATATTCATAAATAAATAAAAGAAATCCTGATCTGGGGCTCGAAACAACACAAGCTGACAGGTGGAAGTGGTTTATAGGTTCCTCCCTGCATCTGCGAAACAAAGGTTGTTTTATCCTCTTTCTTTCCTCTCATAGTTTTGTTTACATGTACGTATGGGGAAACCATGTGCTGGTTTGCACCTCGAAGGCTAGACACGTCTTTGCAACATTCCTCCCTGGTATCAGTCACTTTTTAATGTAGGCGAGGATTCGTCGTTCTTAACCGAAACATCACCCGGGAGCAAAAACTGGCAAATGTTTATTTTCATTGTTCCAGCTGTGATCGTGAAAAAGTCCCAGTGAAGTATCTACTGGCTGCTTTTGTTATACTTTTATACTTTTTATTTTTTAAAGCCATCTGGAGTGGTCTCTTTAACTTGAATGATTTACTATGACTGCTCCATCCTATGGCTGTCTAGTTTATTCCATTGAGACGGGAATCGCAGATGAAGACCATCCATTGCTTTTTGCACCTCATCTCCTCAGGCCGATTCTAAAATCCTCTTTATATTTCAACCATTCTAGGAAGAAGTAGATAAGCAAAACTCTATAAGGTTTAAGCACAAAGCTCAAATACAGTTAACCTGCAAAAGCATGCATACTCATGGGTTTCTTTTCACATTTTGTCATGGGATATTCACAATTCAAATCATTGGCATGCATTTTAGGGATAAACCAGTGCAAAGTAGCATATTTTGTTCAAAATAACCCAATAATAAATGCTGCAGTTTTAGAGATGGATTCAGGACTGGGACTCTGACACAAAGATTGTATTATCTCAAGCATCCATTGTAACTACAGCCGTATTTTGCTGTTGTCCAGCTGTGACATATTCTAAATCATTTAGCAGCTTTTACTTCCTAGTTCTGTTTCAGGCTCAATTTAAATAAAGTTGTGGTTTTAACATGACAAAATGTGAACTTTTAAGAGCCATTAAAACTTTTGCAAAGGATTAAAATCAAGCTTTGCTTCATTTCAGCTGCGGTTAAAACCGAATAAAGATTTTCAGCTAATTTTTTCTTAATTATGTGCACCACTAAGCACATACTCGTCACACTATTGAGCAGTTTGGACAAACATTCTCTTCTTCCATGCATGTTTTTTTTTTTCTTTTTTTTTTTTTTTTCCTGTTTTGTATTTGTCCATCATTCTCCAAAAGGTACACACATGTTGAAATCATCTCAAGTATTAGCTTTAAACATCAGTGTCTGCAGACATTTGGAAGGAGGGGGAAGCAGCTGGAACGGTTTCACTACAGAAGGTCAATCCTGTTGCTTGCTTTCTTTTTGTGGACGTTGGCCTGCAGTCTCTCCAGCATTCCAGCTGTGAACAGTATTCTTATGGACCCATTACGTTGCTTCAACCTGATCTCTTCTTCCTCTGCATCCTCTTCCTCGTGGGGGGGTAAGCTTTGGTTAGAAATCAGAACCAAACAAGATCCAAATGTGCAAGAAGAACAGGAAAAAAAAGCTCCCTGTCCGTCCCGGTTGTTTTAATTCTCTCTACAAAAGGACTGATCATTATTTTTTAATCATTTTCTTTCCGTATGAGGGAATGCAATACATGATTGGCCCTCGGATTATCGACATGAACTTTGACCTTTTTTGTGTATGTATTCTATAAGAATTACTGTTAATGACTGAGAAATATACAGAACTTATTTTTTATTTTGTTACATTTCGTATATACATAAATATATCTATATCAAAATGTTTACAATATTTTAAATTTGTTTCTATTTTTACTTCTATTTTTTTTTTTTTGAGTGATTTTAAGCGAATGAAGAGCTAGAAATACAGAAAACTGTTGCAGAGGGGAGCGTCAGTGCTATCTGCTTGTAGTCTAGTTAGTAGTTTACAGTATTGATGATGATTAATAGTATTGATAGCTGCCGTTAAACCTAGTGGAAAGTGGAATGTGCATCACGAGCATGTCTTCATCATTTACCGCCATAGTAGAACTTCACTGCAACTGTAAAAAGGCCAAGGATTAAAGCTGCCTGTCAATTGTGTACACCACCAAAATTAAGAACGGTATACTATTAAGATGTATCTTTCATTATCTATCTCTGCATACATATTGTTCAAAGCTGTACCTACGGTTCAAAGTATTTGCTAATTTTACTACACTTTTGTTATGTATATGTGTAGAAGGAGTCTTAAGGCATATAAATTCTTCAAATTAAGTCAGGAGTTTAAAGCAGACTATATTTTATAATGGCCTTTTAAGTTATTGCGGCCAAAGCACTGATATTATATATTTGCTGTAAAGAGAATTTTAAGAGTTTTATTTTTCTGATATTAAAGTTACGTAATAAAGACGGTTTCATTTTAAGCCACTTCAGATTCCTGTTGTTCTTTTTATCAATTGTTTGTGTGGTTTTAGTGGCTCCCAGTGGAGACTAAGGATCAGCTTAATGGGACGGAAAATGTGTTTTCATTCTGTTTCACCAGGTTTCATTATGAGTTACTGACATCCTGTCAGGACATCTATTATCGGCCTGCCACCTGCTGATCCTTCTGTGCCTCCGTCTTCTTTTCACACCTTCAACTGTCTCTGTTTTTCTGTTCATGTAAAGCTGCATCCATTGCATTGTCTCTCCATCCATAACCAGAGGCCCATCCATCAATCCATCCATTCAGTTTTATCCTGTCATTGCAGCATTCATTTATACCAGGGGTCGGCAACCCAAACTGTTCAGAGCCATATTGGACCAAAAAAAAAAAAAAATCTGTCTGGAGCCACTAAAATGTCTTTTAAAAGCCTGGTGTGGGAACAGGGGCTCTAAGTGTTTTAGCCCACTATAAAAAAAGGACTACTTTGGCCGAAATATATAATAAGCATTCATGATTAAATGTTTATCATGGAGCAAATGTCTTATCTGACGACTCTGCTGCACAATATTTGGTGCTTTAAGTTTAAATTCCAATACAGTTTTAATTATTAGATTTTATTGCTTTGAAGTTATAGGAACACAGGTATATTTATTTTGAAGATTTGGAGAGGGAAAATGGAAGAAAGTTCACATACCTGCATAAAAGCGCTACCTGTTCGGCCTGTGAACGATTTTCCATGATTGCAACAAAACTAGCAGCAGTACTGGAGTTTGGAGATGCAATCCACTTCTTAAATCTATATTTGTGTTCCTCTAATTTATCAAGAGGTTCTGCAATCACACTTTTTCTCTGCCTCCCAACTTGGTGGTCGGCTGCATATTTAGGAATCCTTCCCTGGAAATACCTTTCCAAATGAATCTTTATTTGACAACCTCTCATTACAAAGCAAAAATGCAGGCAATCCTGCATTGATAAAGAAAGCAAATGATTCGCTTCATTCCTCTTTGAATCCTCTGTTCTCATCAGCTTTTTTCCTTTTTTCTCCCTACCTTATTATAAACCCTTTTTTCCTCCAATCAGACTTTACGAGATGATTTGGAGTTCAGACATGAACGTCTTTAGTACAGCAAACCTGCTGTTATACAAGCCTCATAGGCTTAGTGTTGTCCCATTAAGTCTTACATCAAAGAACACTTTTAAAGTAACGTTAATAGTGTACTCACTTTTCTGAGTCATTGCAACTCTGAGAAAAAAATCCATAGCCATTAAATAGTCATTAGTGTCTTGAGACAATGAGCAATTATAACCATTAAACCAAGATGCATAAAGGATGCCTTCAAGAAACTGAAGCACTGCAGGGAATGTCTGTTTCTGGGCTAGAAAATACAGAAAAACAGAGATCTGTAAAGGAAGATTGATAACTAGGATTTTTTTTACTCGACAGGAAGCCTCACTAAGTCTAGGTCTTCATAATCTCTGACACCACAGCAGCAGTATGTTAAAAGGCTGTTTTCAGTGCAAGCTGTGACAAAAGCAGAATGGCTTTATATGTGGGTGAGAAGATAAAACCATTCCTGTTTCATGGATGATGAACTCTACCTTACTCTTACCAGTTCAGGATGTAACCAGCCTTTTAATAAGCAATATTTGGTTTCTGCAGTTTCTCCGCTTTTAGTGACATTTCTCCCACTCTACCACAGTTGTCATAGCAAAACACCACCTCCCTATTTTCATGTAACTATCTAGAGAACAGAAGCAGACACTCTAAATACGGCAGCCCTCAGAGGGATGTTATGAAATGCAGGTTGAAGCATCATTTCAAAGGCTTCAGCTGAAGCTCTGATATAAAAAGCCACATTCAGGGAAGAATGACAAAACGGGACATCATTTGGAGAATAGCCGTCCATATTTAATAGTAGAGTCTCACATGAGAAATACAGGTAAAATTCAATCAGTAATAGTAGTCAACATTTACACACCAGAGCAGTCTTTTGGCTGCTACAATAACGCCAAGTCATATAAAAAAAAAAAAAAAAAAAAAAAAAAAAAAAACATTTTTCCACCTTAAAAGCAGTTTAGAGTTAAATCGGACTGAAGTTTTCTGCTGTGAATCAGAAAACGCGTCGCCTCCTGCAGCGCCACATGACCAACCATCAGGACTGAGACACACTTTCCAAACGACACGTCTAAAAGTTACAGCGACTAGTTTCCATCCGACAAACCCTCAAAAAGGTCACATCCACGTCAACTGATCGAAACACAGCAAACGACAGGAAACCTCAAAGGCCAAAAGTGCCACAGGCCATAAATAAT